TCGAGGCTTGGCTTCCCTGCTGCGGCCGGACCAAAGGCCTGGGTCCTGGGTGCTGGAGGAAAACTGGTGCCAGCAGCCAGGGGAAGGCCTATTGCGCGAATCTTCGTGCAACGGGCTTCTAGTATATTTATATTCCTCATGAACAGGATTATAAAATCCACATGGATATTTATGTCCTTATAAAAGGAACCCCAGAGAGCTCCATCACACATTCCACCACATGGGGTGAGAAGGCTGCCTATGAACTAGGAAACGGGTCTTCACCAGACACTGATCTGCCTGCACCTTGATCTTGGACTTCCCACCCTTCCAGAACTATGAGAAATAAATATCTGCCCTAGCTGGTTTGGCTCAGTGGCTAGATCATCAGCCTGCTGACTGAAGGGTTCCAGGTTTGATTCTGGTCAAGGGCATGTGCCCGGGTTGCAGGCTCGATCCCCATTGGGGCAGGAGGCAGCTGATCAATGATTCTCTCTCATCATTGATGTTTCTCTCTCTTTCTCCCTCTCCCTTCCTCTCTGAATTCAATAAAAATATACTAAAAAAGAAAAAAGAAATATCTATTAATATAAGCTGACCTAGTATATGGCATTTTGTTATAGAGCCTGAGCTGATGAAGATACTTACCATGACTGATGAAATAATAAGGAAAGTGGGGCTTGAGAAGCTAAAGTGATTTAAAAATATATATATATATATTTATTGATTTCTGAGAGAGAGATAGAAACATCAATGATGAAAATCATTGATCGATCAATGGGGGCAATGGGGGCAATGGGGGCAATGGGGATCAAGCCCGCAACCCAGGCACATGCCCTTGACTGGAATCAAACCTGGGACCCTTTAGTCTGCAGGCCGATGCTCTAGCCACTGAGCCAAACCAGCTAGGGCTGAAGTGATTTGCTCTGGATGACATAGTTGGTGAGCCAGGATGTGCACCTGGCTGATTCTAACTCTAGCATTTAGCCCCTCTGATCGAGTGAAAGTTAGCAAAGGTAGAGAATGTGCTCACATGTGGAGTTGAGAGGCCCAGGCAGGTAAAGCTGCCTGGCCCAAAGCAGTCATGGCAAGCCGAGCAGCCAAATTAGCTAATTCCTACAGCTCTGACTCCCCAGGGTGAGGCAGTGGGGCCCACACTCACTTTGGAATGCCTGTTGGGGGAATCTTTGCCTGCTGCATCCTGCCTGGAGGCGTGCTTGCTCCCACTGGTTCCAGCCAGGGCTGAGAGCCGGGCCTGGGCGGGCACATGCCACAAAGGCTCTGCAGGAAGACAGGAGACACATCAGTGGTTAGCGGTGACTCAGGTCTGTCCCGAGTCCATCCAAAGAATCTGGCCCTAAATATGGTTTGTGATGGAGCCACCTCTCTGCCGGCTTGTCTGCTCAGCGCACACAGGGCCATGACCCCATCAATGTATGTCTTGTGGGTATAACAACACTCAGTAATGGAACAGTTACAGAGCTTTTACTCTGTGCTAGGCCCCACTCTAGTGCTTTGCATGGGTGAACTCATCGAAGCCTTACAACAATCCTCCATCTTTATTCCCAAAGGAGATTGAGCACATTTTCATCCTTACTAACCATTTGTATTTATTTCATAAGTTACCTGCTTGCACACTTTACCCAGTTTTCCATGGAATTGACTATTTTTTATCTTATTGGTGTACAGGATTCTTTACATATGCAAGGTAGCAATCTTTTGTTGGTTAAATGAACATAATTTCTTTTTGTTTAATGAAAATGGGATAATAATAAACACTGTCCTACAAGTTGATTTTCACTTTACAATATACTTACATTTTGAACAAGTGTAGGATTGTCTGGGACAGAATTATACAAGTGGAATTGCTGGTTCAAATGTGAAACAGATTTAAAATCGTGATGGCTGGTATGGGCATAAATTAGTCTAAATTCCTAAAACCAGTGAGCCTGAATTGAGCATCTGACCTTAAAAACAACAACAACAACAACAACAACAACAAAAACGCCACAAAAATAAAACCACCAAGGGAGGACTAGTTAGTATCTATTAATCTTTTAAATGCTCTGGGGAAGGTGGGCTGCCGGAGGGTCACTGCAGAGAGCAGCCTGTCCGGCACAGGCGAGGTGTCACTGTCTGTGTGGCTTTCACTTGGGAACCATGGACATAAGAGAACAGGGAGGGTGGCCACCTGCTCTGCCTCTGGAGATGATTATCCTCTTTGGAGCATCCCACACCCCCAGAAGGTGCTGGTCTCCTGGGAGGCGGCCAACCCATGCCAGGAAACCACATTTCTACAGAGAGCCAAGCCTGTGGCTGTCACATCCAGCCTTAACTACCATTTATGACACACGTATTTCTGCCTCTGGCCTAGACTCTCCCCTGACTTCAGACTGGTATATATGGCTGGGCACCTCCCACTGAACATGGCCAATGCCAGCTCCTTATCTTCTTCCAAACCTGAATCTCTCAGTCTCTCCTGCTCAATCAATGGCTGCTCTATCCTTTCAGCTCCTCAGGCCAAAAACCTGGTATCACCCTTGATTCCTTTCTCTCTCACCCACATTGAGGCATCAGGAAATTCTATCAACTCTACCTTCAAAATGAGAAAAAGAAATTAAAACCCCACAAAAACACCAAAAAACTCTACCTTCAAGTGACCATATCCAGAACCCACCCATCTTTCCCCCTCCACTGTTCCCACTCTGTAGCAAGAGAGATCCTGTGATCACCTGAAGCAGATCCCATCCCATCTGTGCATCATACCTTCTGTCCCTGTCACCTTCCATCAGGTCTCTATATGGGTCTTCTACTGTTCCTCCAACACCAGAGTCATGCTAGCTCAGGGTCGTTGACTAGCTCTTCCCTCCTCTAGAATGTTATCCTAGCTGGCTCCTTTGCCTGATTTGCTCAGAGATTCTCCCAAATGCCACCAATCTCTCTCAGCACTGTTAGTTCCCACTTGATACTCAGCATCATTGCCCATCTTTCCCAGCAGACTGTCAGGGTATGTGCCTGTTTGGCTCACACCACATCCCTGGTACTCAGCCTGGTGTACTGTTAGTGAAGGGCTAGGTTCCTTCCCTTCCCTGGCTGCCTTAGTGTCCCTGGTTCTGCCCTTGGCTGGCCCTGAGCCTGGGCCCTTCACTGATCCTCTGAACTGGCCCCTAGTGACCTGACTCTCATGCCTCACCTTTCACATGCTGAAACCATGGCCATGCATGGACTCGGGGTAGCTGGTGATCCTTGGGACACCTTCTCAACCTGGGTGCTCTGAGGCTTGAGAAACGACCACACTCTGTGGGTGAGGAATTGTGGGTTAAGAAGGGGTTCTAGAACCCGACAGGCCTTGGTTCAAATCTTAATGCTGCCACTTATGAGCAGGAACCTTGGCCAAGTGACCACCTTTCTGTGCCTCATCTTCCTCATTTCTAATGGGGTAGTAAAAAGTGCCCATTCTAGCCCTAGCTGGTTTGGCTCAGTGGATAGAGCATCAGCCTGTGGACTGAAGGGTCCTGGGTTCGATTCTGGTTAAGGGCACATGCCTGGGCTGTGGGCTCAAACCCCAGTAAGGGGGGGGGGTGCAGGAGGCAGCTGGTTACTGATTCTCTCTCATCATTGATGTTTCTATCCCTCTCCCTCTCCATTCCTCTTTGAAATCAATAAAAATATTTTAAGAAAAGTGCCCATTCTATTGTGTTCCTGAGGTGATTAAATAGGAGGAAATGTGGAGTATCCAGTACTGTGTCCGGCATACAACAAGCACACAAAACCCTGTTGCTGTTACTAAGATTATTATCATCTGATCAGGGCTGGGCACGTCCTCATGTCTGTCATGGTGCCTGACTCCTCCCAGCCTGAACCACCTTTTTTTCTGGATTTTGAATACATTCCAGACTTCATGATACTTGCCCTGATTTTGGGGGGAAGGGCTAGAGGAGCGGGATAAGGTGTCAGTCGATTTATAACAAGGTCCCAAGTAAGAGACAGGGGACCCGAGCTCTAGGAGACAGAAGAAACAAGAAGGATAATGGTGAGTTTCTGTGACACTTTTGGGGCCCATGGTGAATGCTGGAAAAATTTCCTCCTCATTTACACTTTAGTATAATGAGATCACCAAGCAACACTTTTCTCTTCTTCTGAACTGGGTGGGGTGAAAAAAAAAAGATGCAAATCTGTTTGTCTTGGAGCCAAGATCACAGACTTGCAGGCAGGGACAGGCAAGACCAAGGGTGTTTACAGGCCCTGGAGGGCAACCTACTTGCCTGAAGTCCATCTGTTTTCCTGGTTTAAGGACACCATGGGGCTGGGATGCCAAGGACTTCCCTAGGCCACCAGTCCTGGGCTATGCAACCTCTTCCCTACCCTACAAAGCCTGGGGAAGCTGGTAGCGTGCTGACATGGTCATCCTGAGCTGCCTGGAAATTCTGGAAGATCCCCTAAGCAGACATCTCCACCTCTTCCCCTCTAATGTCTGATAATTTCACTGGTTTTCTTTCTTTAGAATCTACCCATTCATCTAGTGGTTCTCAGACTTCAAAGGGGCAATAGTTTGTTATGCAAAATTATGTTCAAAATATTCATCTTAGTGTATGCACCTATGATAATCATTACAGATCTATAATAATAAAAGCATAATATGCTAATTAAACCAGACATCCTTCCAGACGTCCTTCCAGTTGACCTTCCGGACAAAGCCAGTGCTGTGAGGGAAGCCCGGGTCCCAGATGCCAGAGGGAAGCTGGTGCCGGCATCCAGGGGAAGAAAGGCCTACTCTCTCAGGTTCGATTCCGGTCAAGGGCATGTACCCTGGTTGCAGGTACATCACCAGGGGGGGGGGTGCAGGAGGCAGCTGGTTACTGATTCTCTCTCATCATTGATGTTTCTATCCCTCTCCCTCTCCATTCCTCTTTGAAATCAATAAAAATATTTTAAGAAAAGTGCCCATTCTATTGTGTTCCTGAGGTGATTAAATAGGAGGAAATGTGGAGTATCCAGTACTGTGTCCGGCATACAACAAGCACACAAAACCCTGTTGCTGTTACTAAGATTATTATCATCTGATCAGGGCTGGGCACGTCCTCATGTCTGTCATGGTGCCTGACTCCTCCCAGCCTGAACCACCTTTTTTTCTGGATTTTGAATACATTCCAGACTTCATGATACTTGCCCTGATTTTGGGGGGAAGGGCTAGAGGAGCGGGATAAGGTGTCAGTCGATTTATAACAAGGTCCCAAGTAAGAGACAGGGGACCCGAGCTCTAGGAGACAGAAGAAACAAGAAGGATAATGGTGAGTTTCTGTGACACTTTTGGGGCCCATGGTGAATGCTGGAAAAATTTCCTCCTCATTTACACTTTAGTATAATGAGATCACCAAGCAACACTTTTCTCTTCTTCTGAACTGGGTGGGGTGAAAAAAAAAAGATGCAAATCTGTTTGTCTTGGAGCCAAGATCACAGACTTGCAGGCAGGGACAGGCAAGACCAAGGGTGTTTACAGGCCCTGGAGGGCAACCTACTTGCCTGAAGTCCATCTGTTTTCCTGGTTTAAGGACACCATGGGGCTGGGATGCCAAGGACTTCCCTAGGCCACCAGTCCTGGGCTATGCAACCTCTTCCCTACCCTACAAAGCCTGGGGAAGCTGGTAGCGTGCTGACATGGTCATCCTGAGCTGCCTGGAAATTCTGGAAGATCCCCTAAGCAGACATCTCCACCTCTTCCCCTCTAATGTCTGATAATTTCACTGGTTTTCTTTCTTTAGAATCTACCCATTCATCTAGTGGTTCTCAGACTTCAAAGGGGCAATAGTTTGTTATGCAAAATTATGTTCAAAATATTCATCTTAGTGTATGCACCTATGATAATCATTACAGATCTATAATAATAAAAGCATAATATGCTAATTAAACCAGACATCCTTCCAGACGTCCTTCCAGTTGACCTTCCGGACAAAGCCAGTGCTGTGAGGGAAGCCCGGGTCCCAGATGCCAGAGGGAAGCTGGTGCCGGCATCCAGGGGAAGAAAGGCCTACTCTTGCATGAATTTCGTGCATTGGGCCTCTAGTAGGAGAATAAACAGATGAGAAGATGCTTAGTCTCCTCAGGCACCAAAAAAGTGCAAATTAAAACCACAATGTCCTGCAACTACTACATGGCTGAAATAAAAAGGTTGGTGAGGACACGGAGCAACTACAACTCTCAGATGTCATAGGTGGGGGTGTGAAATGGTTTGTCACTTTGGGAAAAGGTTTGGCAGTCTCTTATTAAGTTAAACATATGACCCAGCGATTCCACTCCCAGGTATATACCCTACAAATGTGTGAGCCTGTGCTCATCAAAAGACAGACACAGTGCTCATCTTCAGCAGCACCAGTCTAAGCAGTGCCAAACTGGAAACCACTCAAATGTCCATCAGCATTAGAATGGAGTAGTCAGTGGTGGGTCATTCAGATAATGGAATGAGAACTACTCAGAATCTGTGTTGCTACATACAATCACATGGCCACCTTTCACCAACATAATATTGAGTAACAGAAGCCAGACTCATGCATTCAGCGTGAGTCTACATTCTGTAACATGACATTCAAAACCAGGTAAGACGAAGTTAGGCTGTGAGAAGCAGGACGGGGTGGCCTGCGTGGGGTGTTGACTGGGAGGGGCCCGGGCCATGTTCTTGCCCTGGGTGTGGAACACGGCATGCTAGCTTTGTGATGTCATCACACTGGACATTCATGATTTGGGCTCTTTTCTCGGTATGTGCTGTACCTGTGTAATAGTCAATAATATAAAACAGGAGGGTCTGTGCAATGAAAAGCCTCAGAACCCAGTGGGTTCTGCTTCCCAAGAGCAACACTTTCAGTCCTTTCAACTCTTTCCTCTGGCAGTTGCCACCTTCATGTCACACATCTGTACTTGAATCTTGACAGACAATGTTGGCAGACACCCTCCTGATGCCCTGTCTGGGTGGAGAAGGATTGCTCCGTGGTTCCCAGTGCTCTGCAGGAGACCCCTCTAATCTATGTGTGGCCCTTAAAGCTTTCCTGTATGTTTTAGCCATCTGCCAGAAGGAGGGCGTTGCCCGTCAAGCTGTGAGTAGAGGTCCTGTAGGGTGATGTGGGAGGGAACAGCTGGCCCAGGGAAGCCTTCCCTACCTGGCTTCTGGCGCTCCATCGTGCTCTCCTGGCTGGTCAGTCCACCTGAGGAGGAGTCCCCGCTGGATGTCCCGTCGTGGCCAAAGTGGGGATCGAAAGACAGCAGTGGGTGTGGGGCAGCCACGTACCTGCAGGGGAGTGAGAGGAGGCAAGTGCAGGGTGAAGGGCTGGTGTGTCAAAACCACCTGAGAGTGAGTCTCCAGTGGGTTTTAAGCACAGGAGAGCCCAAGTGGAGGGAGGCTAGATGAGGCTAAATGTGTTGTAGCCTGAGGGAGGAGGCCAAGGAGCTGCTGGTGGCAGGGAGTGCTGGGCAAGGAGGGGTCCTCCAGGGAGGAGGAGGAGCAGAAGCCACTTAGGTCGATGGCCCTACCCACAGGCTCTTCAGGGGTCCTGTGTTTTGGCTGTAAAATGGGGTGAGCTGTTGTCAGCAGCTCCTCACCCCAGGCCTGTCTTGGGCTTCCTCTCTCTGGTGGGGAAGAGCAGTATATGTGTACACATAGGAGCCCTGGAGCCAGTAGGTTGGGGTTTAAACCTCACCACTGCCTCTTGCCCAGCCAGGCAGTCAATTTTTCAGCTTGGAGCCTCAGTTTGCCTAGTTGTTAAGAGGTGCTCACAACAGCCTCTTTCTTGTGGGACTGAATGACTTAGCCTGAGGCTGACATATGACCCAGGTTGAGCCGGGACAACTGGCCTTCAGACTCTGGAGGAAGGCACTGTGGGAGAAGCTGTGGACTCAGGTCTCAGAACTAGGCGATCTTGGCTCAAACCCTAGTTCCATCCCTTACGAGCAGCATAAATCATAGGTTTCCGTTTTTCAAGCTTCAGCTTTCCCATTGGAAAAAAGGGATAACATTTTCTACCACACAGGGTGTGGAACAAGTGAAATAGTTATCTCCGAGTCAGAGATTCTCCTGGAGGCTGGCTCTGCACACCCACAGGCCATGGCTGAGATTTAAGAGACGTGACAGAAGTCTCACCCTGGGCCTCAATCCCAGTGGCATTCTCTATGCCCTGGAGTGAATCCGATGAGCACCTCCTAATGTCCATTCCACCATATATCAGAGCCCATCATGAAGGAAACCTGCCTTGCCTGGGGTTGGTTCAGGGACAGGCAAATGACACAATTTTGGCCACTGAGATAGGAGAGCGTGTGAGTTATTAAGACTCCCACAAAATACTCTGGCTTTCCACCTGGGAAGCAGGTAGCAGGATGACACTTTCTGGCCCCTTTAGATTGACCGGGTGGGCTGTGTGACTAGATCTCGCCAATGAGTTGTGAGGGGAATGACTGGGAGGTGGTGGTGCCTGTGTCCTGAGAGGTGTCCTGTCAACTGACAGTGGAGCTGCAGTGTGGGTGTGAAACAAACCTTTACTGATATAAGTCACTGAGAGTTTCAGATGCCTGTTACTCAGCATAACCTGACTGAAATGGCGAAAGTCCGCTGGGGCATGGGGGAGAGCTTCTGGGAAAAGTGTCTTGCTATTAAGAGAGATGATGAGGAAAGATGGCCTCTCTTCTTAATCCAGGCATTGCTGGGTCCAGATATAACACCATGAGTCTGTGCTGCCCTCTCATGACAGCCTGAAGATGGATGAGGCCAATGCTGAGGTTGGAAAGGAGGAGGCGGAGGAACGAGGCTCTCGATAATGCTGTCACAATACCTGATTAAGCCTCCCTGAAGCCTGTTCTGCCTCTGAGCCTCCTTTTCTGTGAGATAATAAATTCCTACAATGTTTGCACCAGCCAAATTTCAGTCACTTGCACCCCATGGACACAGGCCCTGTACTCTGGGGGTTACTGAGCCTCTATTTATCAGGTGGATGCTGACATTCCCCATTCGGCCACTTGTGTCTATATGCAAGTAGGGTGATAAACTGGGACCCCCAACATCCCAAACAGAAGTTAGCTTCTCCAAGGTCGTCTTGCCAGCCACAAAGCCAGGGTTGCCTCTGCAAAGACAACTCCAAACCCCTAGGCTTCAACGCCACCAGGGCAGCAGACGGGTGCTTCAGTGGTGCACTGGATTTTCTGAAAACTCAACCCTACTTGCCTCCCCAGAGTGTACATATTATCCTTGCCCTCCCAGACCTTGACTTCTAATGCCTCCAGGATAAGGAGAGCCCAAACAATAAAATGCATAAGCAATCTTCACCTTATGGGTGACCTGGTAAAATGTGGCTCCACCACAGCTGGAAATTGAAGTATGGACATGTTTATTCTATTTTTTCAAAATGTCTGTATCATATCCTGAGCACTAAAGGAAAACATCAGCAGTGGCTGGGGTTGGCAGAGGAAAGTGGAAGGTATGAGTGGTAGACATGCAGGCGGCTCCCCCAATATCTATGCTTTGCTTCTGCCCTGCTAACAGAATCCCAACTATATTTGGGGCAGCATCAGCTAACAAACAGACTACATTTCCCAGACTCTCTTGCAGTTCTGGCCAATGAGTTAAAAGTGCTGCATGTGACATTCAGGAAATCTCTGGAGGTGTGTTGTGGGTGCCACTGCCTCATCATCTCCTAAAGCTGAAGCTCTAGCAGCCACTTTAAGACCAACAGGCAACAGGCCAAGGATGGCAGAGCATCGGTGAGGAGGAGCCTGGGTCTCTGACAATGTGAGAGAAAGAAAGAAACTATTTCATCTGAATATCTGCTTTCTATATTATGCAGCTAAACCTAATCCTAACTTTAGTGGGACATACAGTCAGACCTCTGTTCTCAAACATGTCCCATCTCAAACACTTTGGTTCTCGACCAAGTTGTTTACTGAAAACATGTCTCCATTTTCTAACACAACTTCAGTTCTCAACCTGATAACCCTTCATGCTGATACATCAGCATGACAAAAAGCACCTCTCAGGCTACACCTCAGGAAATTGGGCTGTGAATATTTTCATGTTCTCTCTCTCTTTTTTTTTTTTTTGCTTTTGCTGCTGGTGAAATAGACCATTAGCACAATTTTAAAACATAAAGAGGCCACTAGCGTGCTGATGTTGCTAAGGATATGAAAGTGGTCACAAAACAACAATCATAGGCATTAAGGAGGTAGAAAAATTGTTGTTGATTTAAATAAAGGAAAAGCAGTTTGCCAGTGGTGACAGCATTTCGGAGGCAGTGATATGTGAAAAAGGGGTCTGGAACGTATTAATTCAATTGACGTTATTTCTAATGGGAAAAATGATTTGGTTTTCAAACAAATCGCTTCTCAAATAGCCTTCTGGAACGAACTAAGTTCGAAAACCGAGGATCCACTGTATTTACTATGCTTCATCTCTCAGCTACTGTCCTCAATCAAGACAACCTGTACTTTGTCCATTCATATAATAATCCCAGTGCAAACTAACTGACCTATGCTGACCATTCTTTGGGGTGCTAAATAAGTCCCATTCAGGGCCATTCTATTACTGCCATATCTGGTCAAGTTGATTGGAAATCAGGACATTCCAGCATCTCACCACGCACAGCTCTGGGCAAAAATCCCTAGAACAAGAGATCAAATATATATTTAATATCTTCTGAGAAAATATAATGTATTCTTATCTTTTTTCAGAATTGGAAATCACTTTAAAACTAAAGGGTTTGAAGTTTTAGTGAGGAACTAACCAGCTGCAGTTTCAAGAGCCTCCAGGCACAAACTAGACATACTGACTGACCATGGGAAAGCCAAGGTGGGGGTTGCCTTAAGATCAGCAGTGTTGGGCTACTGGGATGCTGGAATAGAGCTTCTCACTTGGCCACAGAGGAAAGTAACAAGAAAGACGTGAACGTGAGGGGAAGGCTACAGCCTGCTATCAATCTCCTACCCTGACTGATGGGACAATGGAAGGGTAGGGCAGACAATGTAGCCACTATTGGCTGCCACTCCAACAGCTAGCCATCTTCATCTTTGTCCTTGCTGGTGGAGCCCAGATTCTGCTCTGGAGGCCATCCCTCTGCCATGTGGTTTGAGTACATCCTGACAGTTTAAGACAGTTATGTTGGTCCAATGGGACCTTGCCAGGGGTTGATTCAGGAGTGGGCACTCTTGAAAACAAAGAGAAGTTTTCTCCTCTTCTTCTGCAGGGCATTGGTTTTGCTGGGGGCCACAGTAGCCATCATGGGTCATGAGTGGAGTTGGTTCCTGAGGACCTCACTGCAGAACTAACCAGCCCTAAAGCCACCCTAACTCTGGACTTACTATGTGATGATAAAGCCCCTTAATGCTTCCTGCCTTCTCGAGTTAGGCTTTTTGTCACTTGCAGTCAAATGCCTCCTAACCAATGTACCACTCTTTATGGAGCTGAAGGAGAAAAACAGGAAAAAAAAAAATAAAAGCTAACTAGGTGGTCTGATAAGCAAAAGTCTAGGGCCCAGTCCAGCCCTGCAGGCTTGCAGAGCTGGGCATACAATTCTGCCTTAATGCTCTGTACTGAGTGGGTGGGTTGTTATTCCTGCACAGGAGGGGGGCAAACTCCTGAGGACAGGGACAGCATCTGCCAGCCTCTGTACCCCAGCTGCCAGCACAGGCACCACACTCAGCAGGAACAGTCATCACCCTCATGGAGCACTTACTATGTACCAGGCACATTTCCAAGTGCTATAAAGGGTGTCCCTCCTTCAATATTCTTAACACTGCTCAGAGACAGACATTTTAAATGTGAGCAAACTGAGGTGCAGAGAGGGAAAGTCACTTGCTCACACTCACATGGCAGGCAGGAGTAGGCCAATTGCCATCTTGTCTCTTGGTAAATCTAAGATGGGCCACAAGACAGGTTCTGTCTATGAGGACCTTTGCTTTCCTAAAAGTAGCAACCTGCTGGAGAAGACAGCATGAGACAGAGGAGTCCTGAGGGAGAAATGTCTGGTGCTGGGCTGGAATGTCGGGCTCAGGACCCACAGGCTCCAGGATGTCACGGGGCAACTGTGTAGCAGGAAAAGAGGGAAGGAGATGAGGCCAGAGGCCACTGGGGCACCCTGATCTGCTCCCAGCCTCTTACTGCAGGCTGGTGACTGCCTGTGAAAAACACTTCTGGGGGTTTCAGTGATGAGGTGTGCTAGGAACGTTTGGCAAAACTTGAAGCCTAGCTGCTGATAGAGATAAAAATGCTGAGATATGGGACACAGAGAGCAAGGCAGACTCCACTGGAGC